ACACTGAGGTTTTGGCAGTGTGGATATATTCAATATGCTGTAGCTACCAAGGTTGCTCACAAATAGGAGAGAGAGCACGTCGATGATAAGGAAATACTCATTTGTAAAACAAGTCCCATAAACATTATTTGCTTTTGTAACAGATATTTCCACAAACCCTTGATGTTACTGTTCAGTTATATAAACGCTTTAGATATTACATTGGAAACACCCTCGTACCCATTAATTGCGCCAATCCACATGTTACATATGCAAGAGTAGAGGGTCGTACGTACACTTCAACATGTCAGAACAACTTCAGAGTTACAGTAATATGAAAGAACTGGGTGTTCCTTAACTTCTTTTGATGGGTATATGTTTGTGTTGTAGCCTCTTAGCTCATTGTGGAGAATTACAAAAGGTACTTGACCATGGGGTTTCGATGTTGTAAGTATTGATTGCCGTGACACTTGTGGCACATGGGGATAGCCAACAACTATGAGTAGGTAAAATACACTGGCATACATCATTTTTATGCACTGACAACACGCTCTCCGGATACCTACTGCTAGCAAGTCTGGATATACTTACCAGGATGATGGAGTTTGTTTGTCGGTGTAGTTGAATACACTTATCTCGGTGGTGAGTCTGTAGACAATGACGGCGACAATAGGGATTTATTGGCGTGTCTGAAGACACTGAAGTTGACGATGGACGAGTTTTGTTGTTTGAGTCTGTTTAGAGTGTCTGAGAACACCCATCACGATAGGGGTTGGGGGAGCGGGGATCATTGTCGGCCTGCTTGGATACATGACAGTTACGTGGTTTGGTGATATTGGTTTTGTCTGCGTTTCTGGTGTGTTTGATGGTGGCTGTTTGCTTATTTGCTTGTCTGAGGACACTGATGTTTTTGTTGGGATGTCTGTTGACGCTGACTGAGATGGTGAGTTTTGTAGTTTTGGCGTGTCGGGAGACACTGATCTCGATGGTGGTTGTTTGTTTATGTGCGTGTCTGATGCCACGCTTCTCGATGGTTGGTGAATGTTGCCGTGTCTGAAGACACTGTCCTCGGTGGTAGGTTTATGTTGGCTTGTCTGGAGACACTGTCCTCGAAGGTAGTGTCTGTTGGCTTGTCTGGAGACACTGTCCTCGGTAGTAGTGCATGTTGGCTTGTCTGGAGACACTGTCCTCGGTGGTAGGTGTATGTTGGCTTGTCTGGAGACACTGTCCTCGATGGTAGGTGTATGTTGGCTTGTCTGGAGACACTGTCCTCGGTGGTAGGTGTATGTTGGCTTGTCTGGAGACACTGTCCTCGGTGGTAGGTGTATGTTGGCTTGTCTGGAGACACTGTCCTCGGAGGTATGGGTGTATGTTGGCTTGTCTGGAGACACTGTCCTCGATGATAGGTGAATATTGGCTTGCCACTGTCCTGGAGACACTGTCCACTGTCCTCGGTGGTAGGTGTATGTTGGCTTGTCTGGAGACACTGTCCTCAGGTGGTATGTTGGTGTATGTTGGCTTGTCTGGAGACACTGTCCTCGGTGATAGGTGTATGTTGGCTTGTCTGGAGACACTGTCCTCGGTGGTAGGTGTATGTTGGCTTGTCTGGAGACACTGTCCTCGGTGGTAGGTGTATGTTGGCTTGTCTGGAGACACTGTCCTCGGGTGTATGTTGGCTTGTCTGGAGACACTGTGTGGTAGGTGTATGTTGGCTTGTCTGGAGACACTGTCCTCGGTGGTAGGTGTATGTTGGCTTGTCTGGAGACACTGTCCTCGGTGGTAGGTGTATGTTGGCTTGTTTGGAGACACTGTCCTCGGTGGTAGGTGTATGTTGGCTTGTTTGGAGACACTGTCCTCGGTGGTAGGTGTATGTTGGCTTGTCTGGAGACACTGTCCTCGGTGGTAGGTGTATGTTGGCTTTTGTGGAGACACTGTCCTCGGTGGTAGGTGTATGTTGGCTTGTTTGGAGACACTGTCCTCGATGGTAGGTGTATGTTGGCTTGTCTGGAGACATTGATTGTGTTTGTTGGTATTTGTATGTTGCCGATTCTGAGGACATTAACTTCAATGGTGGTTGTATGTTTGTTGATATTTCTGCAAACACTACCCTCGATGGTGGGCGTGTGTTGGCACTGACGTTGACCACGGGAGTTGCATTTCTGAAAACAGTGACCTCGACCTTGAGTTTTGTGTTTTGTGCGTTTCTGTTGGCACTGACTTCAATGGTGGGCGTTTGGTTCATGGTGTTTTTGTAGACACTGCCTTACCTCGATGGTGGGTTTGTGTCTGTTGGCATGTCTTAAGACACTGACGACAACTGTGTGTGTTTTGTTGGACACTGATGTTACTGGTGAGGTTTTCCTTCATTGCTATACGTGACATGGTGTAACGCGTCTTTCTTGAGAGCTGATACTGTGAACATAGAATCCAGATTGACCTAATGTAAGGGTTTCATGCCGCATTCCTATTGTTTTGAGATAGCTCCAGCGAATCTGGAATGGCTAACTGACATAAACTGCTGATACAACAAACCATGGTCTTTCCTAATTCGACATATCTGTATGTTTCTATTTAAGGAGGGGCGGTGGGGTAGCCTAGTGGTTAAAGCGTTCGGTCGTCACGCTGAAGACCCAGGTTCGATTCCTAACATGGGTACAATGTGTGAAGCTCATTTTTGGTGTCCCCCGCTGTGATATTGCTGGAATATTGCTAAAAGCGGCGTAAAACCAAACTCACTCACTCACTCTATTTAAGGAAACTATGCCCCTGTCTATGCAAACAAAGTAGGTCCTGATGACTCAGTGTTGGCCTTGAGAGGCGATTTGAAAGGTTTCCTTGGGGGTCATAATATCCGGAGTAGATGTATTAATCATCCACTACGTGATGTTATTACTTTGTAACACGTCGTGATTTTCTTTTCATGGAAGTGATCCTTAAAATATAATTGTACTGGTAAATAATGAAAACTGTCAACGAAACTCTCCTTTCTCTTATTATTCGCCACTGCTGAGATGTTTCAACCTAAAAATGTAAATTGTTTTTCCCTTCACGCTTAGCCGTGGTTGATTAAGTCATACCGCATGGTGCGATTTATACAGAAACTGAACAAAATTCAATATCCGTACCGTCGACAGCGGCGTTAAGTTTTTGATGTAGCTGTGCGGCATGGCGACAGTGATGTATCAGGAGCTGTTGACGACGCGGTTGAAAACCAAGACTAAGACCTTGCGTCAAGTGACAAGCCGCCATCATTCTCAATCTCCTGATGCGCACCCTCTGGAACCGAAATGCATCATGGGATTATTTCCTGTCAAAAACTGCCGTCTCTAATCTTGCTAAGAATAGGCCACTTGCAAGCTCTTGAAGACATGCATTCGCCGGGTTCTGCTTCTGAGAGATGATAGCGCTCTTGCAGTCAAATCAATTCAGGAAATCCGCAGGATCACCCGTATCCTGTAATCCAATTACGCTACAAAATCCTCACATCTAGCACCCCATAATTTGTCATATGTACTTACATCAAGACGGACCAATCACCTCCCTGTCACGTGGTCGTGGTGGAACCTCATCACGCCCTTGTAAGCGGAGTAATACTGCTCTATTGACTGCCATGATGAATGGAACGTGTCTGCAATGTGTATTGATCAGGCACAATTATTCATTGCATGGGAGAGATTTGGTGGGACGTGATCAAATGAACAATAAAGACCCGACTGTGACTCCATGTCTGCCCTGCTACACGCGTCGGGGAATGAAGCCTGTCACATTCAGGTTGTGCATGCTTACTAAATGTATTTCGTGTCTTTGTACCAAGGTTCGATAAACAGCGCTCCATTGTGTTTGGTCAAACGGAAACATTGTGTCAGACTCGCGAGATCTGTGAATTGATTGTGTGATTTGATTGACACACATTCCTGTATGGCCAGCAAAGATAATCGAAAAATTGAAGTGCTGCTTTGTTGAGGGGAGGGTTCAAGTTGCCACATATTAATTTTCAGTGATGAAAGAGGAAGCGTGATGGCAATGAAAACTTTATTATCAATGAATTCTCTGTAACCTTTTTCTCTGAATTAACTCTGAATAGAAGAGGAGCATACGTAGAAAGTGATATTGAATCTTGAATTGACAATAGACGAGACTAAGTCAAAGGCATTATCTGGTAGACTCTATCATATTTTTTTCCAGTGGTAAAAAATCCTATTCACAGAATACGTCAACTGTGAAAAATGTTTACGAACTCACCACAAATACCACCTCGAACATAGACGTCACGAATCTGACGTTACAGGTTTTCAAGAAGGAACTGTCATGTTACCTTGACCTTCAGGCTCAGAGGATGAAAGTGATAGTTCAAGGTCAACCGTTTCATGACCAACTTGTGTCAGGTTTATACAACGAATCATACTTGTCCCTTTCCAGCTCTGTTGCAAACATTCTATTTTGGCTGTTGTTCAGAGGTACGAGCTCGAGTATACATAGTAATAAAGAAATAACGTTTTATATAACCACACGTAACCACACATCATTTGCACTATGAATCGTTGAAACACGTTGACGCAAAAAGCCCCTTTGGCGTAAACTCCAGCATAGCGGTGAGAATTATAGTAAATGTATCTGTGTGTTTGCGGAAAGGGAAATCATATCTTGCCCTGCATCCGCAACCCTGAAGCCTTATATGCATGCAAGTTTAGAGTTGGCTTCTGTCCAAGACTATATGATTTGGCTTTAAAGCTTAGGGGCGGTGGGGTAGCCTAGTGCTTAAAGCGTTCGCTCGCCTCGCCGAAGACCCTTGTTCGATTCCCTACATGGGTACACTGTGTGAAGCCCAGTTCTTATGCCTTGGCGAGATGTTGCTGGAATATTGCTAAGAGCGGCATTAAAACATGATCACTCACTCACTTCCTACGTTCAAAGTGTTGTTTTTTTAAAAAATAATTTCAAAAAGTAAGTAAACACATATGTACGAAATGCAACAATAAATGATATGAAGGTTTTGATAAACATCCTTCTTTCCTCCTCAGGTCACGTGAGGGTGCTGTATGCCGGTCTCCTTGGCAACATTTTGAGGTTTATGTACATATCATGGCTGAAAAACCCATGGTGGGTTCTCCCGTTCGAGTTCGTCCAAGGTAGGTCTTGGGTCTTTGGTGTTGTACAGATGGTATGACTGCGATGTTTACACACAGAAAACCACAATACAGTAAGAGTGAATTGTATGTACATAACCTCTGGCCAAAGGCAATTTGGTAAAGTTCACTTGGACAAAGTACTGTGACTATGTGTCCCAGTCCACCCAGCTGTGAATGGGTACCTCGTCAGGATGAGAAAGCCACAATAATTCGGTGCGCCTAGTGGCTGCAAGAGTTGTATACTCCCCAGGGAGCTGAGATTGATAACACGATGTGCCGTTGAGATTGACATCCAATGATCGAAGGAAAAAAATACCAGCGCCTTGAGCAAGCACTAATTCCCTGGATATGTGCGCTATATAAATATCGTATAATAGTGATAATAATAATACTATTGTATGTGGAGTAGCACTCCTAAAAAGGCATAGACTAACTTTGAAAATGTTTAATATTCAATAAAACGTTCATGTTTCATTACTTTGATTGATACAAGGATGAAAGTTAGCATGGTGATAATAACACGTTCTGTAGAAGACGCATAATGCTACGATGGAGTAGGAGGCCTTCCGATCAGTACCTGGTGTGACCATCGTGTGCTCTTATCACTGCCATACACCTCTTTGCCACAGATTGAATACGGATTCTGCCCAGCGAAATTCTTCTCCTTTCTTCCTGAATCTCCAGTTGTGCAAGTATCTGTGGCGTATGTTGTCAAAGACGTATACGGCTATCATGGTCAACCCACAGATCAGGTTCAGATCTGAAAGGCCATGACAAGACATTGACGTACACGTCTGTCGTGGTCAACCCACAGATACAGTTAAGATCTGGAAGGCCATGACAAGACATTGACGTACACGTCTATCATGGTCAACCCACATATAAGGTTCAGATCTGAAAGGCCATGACAAGACATTGACGTACACGTCTGTCGTGGTCAACCCACAGATACAGTTAAGATCTGGAAGGCCATGACAAGACATTGACGTACACGTCTATCATGGTCAACCCACATATAAGGTTCAGATCTGAAAGGCCATGACAAGACATTGACGTACACGTCTGTCGTGGTCAACCCACAGATACAGTTAAGATCTGGAAGGCCATGACAAGACATTGACGTACACGGTTATCATGGTCAACCCACATATAAGGTTCAGATCTGAAAGGCCATGACAAGACATTGACGTTAGAATTATGAAGGAAGTCAAAAGTGTCGCGTTGTTATCTTGAAATACTTCTCTCTTTCGGTTGATAATCGGAAGAAAGGGGCGTTGAAGAATTTGGTCGGTGTACCAGATTGCTCTCAGATTCCCCAAAACCTCAACAGGTCAGATCTGTGTTGGGTATGGCACCCGACACCATCACATTATCCGCAACCAAATCATTCGACCTATGGAACGCAGTTCGGAGGAACGGTTGACTTTAACATCGGTAGTTACGCTGTTTTTTTGTCTTTTGGTTGGAGAAGAAATCATGACTCATCACTGAATCAGACTCGAGTCCGTACTTTCTCCATACGTTGCCGTGGATGCAAACATCTATACATGGACAAATGCATGCCTTCTTTGTCTAATTCCAGTTGCAGACGATTAATGATTGTTTTGTCTGATACCATCCTCAAACCAAAGCACAAGTCATGCAGTCTCCGCGGCAGTAGCATGTCGATGACGTTGATGCAAGCCCCGGATGTAGCGAGTGCACGGGTGGTGTTCTTGTGACAGGGTGGTCAGTATTGTTATCATGTCTACAGAACGTGTTACCATCACCATACCGTGGGACATTCTTGGAGTTAAGGAGGTGTCACGTCATACCAGTCTTTGAGTGAATGATCGTGTCATTGTATAACATGCTTTGACTGAAAGTGGTGTCATTGTATAACATGGGTGCACTAAAACATGTGATTGCCATTCGACTTGAGACTGTGTCAGCATAAAGTGTATCATGTATCCTGTGTACGTCTTCAGGCCTGACACACGCTGCAGTGTGGGCGGCATGCTGTTCCTACATCACCCAGGCTATTCCCAAGTCCCTCAGGGCATCGGCTCAGGGCATCCTTGTGGGCCTGCACCACGGACTTGGGCGGGGCTGTGGCGCAGTGTTCGGCGTGCTCATTTNGCATCCTCGTCTATCACTACGGTAAGTTAACAATAACTGGGCCAGGGTTTCTAGGTTGTTCTTGTGGCGTCCTTGTCTAACACTACAGTTGTACATGAATATTTCAAATCAACCATTCTTTGTGTGTGGAGTTGTGAAACAATAACATCGTTTTACAATACATCTCTGATGACACCGACATGGCAAGGCACTTTTGTGACATAATGGTTTGTTGACATTGCCAAGTGTTATCGAATAGAAAGACGACAACTCAGTCGCAAGTTATTTTAGTTGTTTAATTCACTGACAGTACCTTCCAGCATATGTATCGTTGGTTGAGGTATTCAGAACTTAACAAGATATGCAACAGTCAACTTGAACAGGTGGGAGGTTTCATCAGCCCTTGATTCAGCAGAAAGGTCGTAATACCGTTAAATGTAGATTAGTGAACACCACGCTAATTGTTCCATTATTTAAAAGGTCCCTGAATACATTGAAGCTAGAATAGTCCGACTAAATAGTATAAACAGCGACTGTTTGTGGACGACCTGCCCACACTAATTTGAATATACTTTGGTATGTTAGGAAGCCAAGAGGATAAAACTTTATCTCGTCAGGTCCAGGTTCCATTCCCAGTACATATAATATGATATCCGTTGAGATATTGCTGAAATGTTGCTAAGATCACTTTGTAAAATAATTATCATTTGGATCATCTGACTCTTTTTAAGTCGTTGCTTTCGGGAAGCAAGGGGCTCTGAGGATGTAAACTGGCTTACGAAAGAAAGTACCCCACAACCAAACAACAACACAAAACAACAGCAACAAAACAAAAAATACACATTTTGAAAAGTGGTTTGATTGTGACTTACAAAGCATAGACATTATGTACATGGTCTGAAACATCCATGTGTGCACTTTCTGTGTCTGTTGATTTTGCTCGGAATCCCAGCATGTGTAGTCCAAGACAACGATGGTGAGAGGCTAGCTGCCACAGGCACCAGGATATATAGAAGTGATGGATTCTCCCATCTAATCATTGACTAATCTGATTTGCCAGTTACCATATTGTGGTTCAGGATTTAAAGTTCTAATATTAAGTCCTTGTGGAATAGACCTACTTGTCCACAATAGGATTACCTTTAATGTGATATATTGACACTGGTTAGTTCGTGGAGATAAGTGACAACGTCAATACCTGAGACAGGTGGGAGGTTTTCATAACCACATGATTCAGCATAAAGTTTGTAATGCTGTAAAATGTAGATAAAGGTACCACCACACTTCACTATTAGTTCCACTTAAAAGATCCCGGACCAAATCGATTAAACCAGGAATAGATAATCTGTTAAAGAGACGAGAAATAAATTGTCATAAACATGTGACAGGAACACGTGGTGATTAAAATGTTTGAGATGACGCAATTCTATTGACATACTGAGAAAGTTAAATGATCAAAATTATAAATTAGGTATCAAACATACAAAATAGTAGTGCAAAATAACTGTTGTTTGTCCTTCCCCTGCCCTACCAAACCGATCAGTAGGGCAACACAGTGGATAAAGTAGTGGTTGGTCATGCCGAGGGTTCTCAATACTGATGTTTCTGATTACAAAACAATATATATATCAATGAATTAGTACATATTCTTTTTGTCCTTGAAGAAACGTTTTATCACTCTACATCCATGTGTGTGTTAAGATTTTCATCATCAGCACAGTTGTGTTAGGTAAACTGTGTCACCGTTATCTATGACTAGATTAGCTCCTGGCTTCTATTTGTCCATTGATATTACCAATCAGCCCCAGGTATCTACTGTTACGTGTTGAGTCCCAAGTTACAAATAAAACGTAAACCAGGAATCAGCCAATAAAAGAATCAGAGGTACAGATAAGCTGCGTATCTGCGTAAATTACGCAAATATTTATGTGAAAACTCAATTCCTATTAAGTCTATTGCGTACAAGTACGCTTGAACTTTTGTAAATACTCAATAAATGTGATCTTATATGCATACACACAAAAATGTCAAATCTTAGCTTGCGCACCAGGGGATAGATAAATAACTGAGGTATACTGAGAGGTTCTATTTCAGGAAATGAACTTAACAACTTGCAGATTCTCATAAAACAGATAAAATATAAATAACAAACACTAACATTTAAACTTTTGAAATGGCAAAATACCCAAATGTCTTTGAATGAGGTGAGTACAATTTATTTGGTTACTGAAAGGAAAATTAGGATACCCAATTGAAATGAACACAAGCAAGTACATAACTAAATGACCCAAAATGTTATCTGTAGTTCAAAAGAAGTAGGCTTGAACTCAACAATCAACACCGAACTGTGATGTACTTAACATTTAATGAGTAAGTTCACAAATCAATGACTATCAATACAAAGGTACATGTATTACTATGACAGTACAGAAGAGAGTGGCAAACCAAATCCAAGACAGTAAAATACAAGAGCAGTGACTAAAGCACAATGATGGAAATTATCACCTCTCAGTAAGATTAATCGAGGTTACAAATAGGCCTGGCAGGGTATACTGATCGCCACAATCAATGCTGGTCTTCTGGTGACTTGAGATGTCATGTGATGAGAGGCAAGGGTTAAGTCCCCTAATTTATCTGTTTAAGACAGATGATTCTGGAGTATGTTCCTTCCAGTCCAGTCCAGATAATTCTATCATATTCTGCCTAAATCTAGCAAAGTCTAGATATAGCACGCAACTAACCCCCACAAAATCTACAGCTACAATGCATAACTAGTGAAACATTGCTGTATAAGACTGCTACCTTCCCTTGTTTAAGTGCCCACCTTGGCCATGTTTATATAACGGCCTGCTTCCTAATTTTCAGTCAGTGCTGAAGAAGGGAAAACATACTCGAAAAGCCGAGTTCCTCAAACTACATCCATAAATATTCTTTTGAATCTGTTCTATTGATTCCAGGCAGCGAAATAACGTTTCGGGTATATGGCGTGTGTTGCATCATAATCCTGGTGGTATACCTCGGCGTCAACTACTTCCTCGAGGACCGGGGCTTCTTCTCCCACGGGGGCAGCAGCAAGATGACACATCAGATCCTGGAGGAGAATACCCATCTTGCACCACATGGAGTGCCTTCCGGTATGGCACGTGACCTGTCCAGCAGTAAGCTCGATCAAGAAACCCTGAATACAGGTACAGCATTTAGTTATTTCTTATGTGAAATGGGGTTTAAGGTCGTGTTCAAGGGTAGAGCACCTACACAGCGACGAGCATGTTAGCGTTCATGCTTGCGTGCGTGCGTATGCTTGTCTCTGTGGCAGTTGTACTCGTCCGCTCTAATGCTGGTTCTGTAGAGATAGCCCTCTGAGACACTATGCAACAGTTTAACGTTTATTACCCACTCTGACTGTCTCCGAATCAACAAGTCCTTGTTTCCAGAACCCCTTGATACCGGAAATAGGGAAACAATTAAATCAAATATTTTAACGTCTTTTTGAATGACACGGGCAGGGATCAAACTACGGACCTTCGCTCCCCAGGAGTTATTCCTGTACAATGTAGCGACGCACTCTAAAGTATCAGCACACCACATTCAGCAATATTGCAGCCGGGGTCTTCAAAAGACCGAGTCTGGAACAGTCGACTCTCGGGGCAAGTTGAGGCTGTTTGGGGAATATTCGACGACTGTGGAGATCATTAATCTGACATAGCTGTGGCTCTGTGTGTGGCTCTGTAACTAATGGTGTTTCAACATCTCATTAAGATTCATATTTCACAATGATGACCATGAAATTAAGATTTGCATTTTGCATGTTTTGTTGATTCCGGTTTAATTATATTATAAAAATGTAATTCTAATCAGTTGTTTTGAAATCATGACTTAATCTTATTGTCAGTACGCGTGTGTTGTTAGCCAACCAGCATTCGTAACCAGTTCGTGTCAGTCCGGGACAAGCGCCGCAGGTTACGGAATTTCACGAATGAAGATGAATGAGCCCTCCACAGAACCTTGAAATCAATTTTTTGACGAATTATTATGAAGATTTTACGTACACTTTGGTCAATTCAAATCCAAGCTTGACACTGAGGTCACGATGGCAGCTGGTGGGCAGTGTTGATAAACGTTAATACATGTGCACACTGCAGGCGACGTAACGGGATAGTTTCATAGTTTGTTGTGATTTCATGATGTATGTTTCGTTTTCTGTAGACTACGGCGCGACGACATACGACGGCCTCAACACCTTGCCAGTGAAGAGCCCAGGTACTGGCCCCAGAGGTTAGTCGACGACAGCACCTCCATTACTAACGCTGTTGGGAATATAGACGGGGATATCGATTAAAGTCATGTGTGTACATGCTGCTGTACATGATAAGTTGTATTAGTGTGTGATAAGTGTAAACATACTAGAGATCAGAATATTCCGAAGTTAGTAATATAGACAAATCACAGAAAGAAAAACAGATGTTATATGATCAGTGTAACAACTCCGATCTTACATCCTCAATGTCCTCAAAAAAGTATTTTCTGCCAGATAGTTTCAATTATATCATGTATAACATGTGACTAAAACACTAGAAACAGAATTGTCAACTGTAGTTGACCATGTGGCTGGCTTAAAATACTGATTAAAACCACGTGTGTCAGTATGTGGGGCATCGTTAAGTTTTGCCTTTAGGGAGGGGGGTGATATAATAATTTTATGAAACATTATTTGTCTGGAGATGTTTGTGACGGGAATTAATGTTTGAAGTGAACATTCGCTGCTGACTATCTGAAGCGTACGTAAAATATTCTGTAAATATTTATCAAACTCGCGTGTTTCAGGTTTCGCAAATGGAAACTATAGAGGCTTTGACGATGGAGCCTTTTCTCAGGTATGTCCAGAACACGTGTATATAGATTGTATTGTACAACAAGAGTAATCCTTATGTATTAGTCCTGAGATCACCTGGTAATCACCATGAATTGCTTATCACACTAATATGTAATTTGCTCTTTATGTGTCTAACTATTGACAATATCTATCAGTTTTCAAGTTGAAATGAAGCTGAAAATGCGATAAGGCCATTGAATGAAATAGTTTTCACATGACATCGTCTCAAAACCATTGCTTACATTTAATTCCGACATGAAATATAAAGATGAGCCCTGTCAAGGTTGTGTAGCATTTTACAGGGAGTGTGTCATGTGCTTACGCGTTGAGTACAACAGTCATTTTTCAGGTGTATATAGTTAGTTGTATATGATACCTATGTCTTGGAATTTCTGAATGCATATTGTTATTTTGGTATTGTCTAGGGCTATCAACAAGGAGGACAGGACAGTCTGCTGATGCAAGAGCCGCCCAACATCCCCACCCAGATATACCAGCAGCAGCCGTACAACACATACGACCAGGGTTACGGGCCCTGAACAGGGGCACATAACTCAAGCCCGCTCTTGAACTTCATATTCTACAAGCTCAGTCGTATACTGTAGTTAGTTCAACAAGATATCGAAAGAAGTCACGCAGAAAAGCAGCATTAATGTAGATACTGTGTGTAGTTAGATATTCACTCGTCGAAATCGAAATAACGGTTTCACATAGAAGTCTAGCAGACCTTTCCACTGTTATCATAGTTCTTCGAGTGACACGTGGTGGGACTAACCCTGCGAGCTTATTACACGAGACAGTTGTGATGCCATCATCTGCTGACGTCAGCTTCCTATGAAGATCGGCTGTCATGGTAACCACGGAAATGTCGATATGGTTCCTGTGGTTCGATTTAGGAAGTGACCACGGGTTGGTTGATAAGCCCGCTACTGGAGGAAGACAAGTGTCAAAGAGTTGGCTAAAAGTAAGCACAGTATGGTTGACAGGGTAACCACGGACAAAGCGACAACATATCGCTGTAACGAGATAACCATCTTGGAGTTATCAAGATGGATCCGTTCGCATGATACAGTCGGTCTACCAAATACCTCCCACGCTCCGCAAACCTGAAAAAAGGTCCATGCCAAAGCGTTATCGATATGTAATGCATAAAACAATATATAAACTAATGATTTTACAGGGTGTCATGAAGGTACATCACCTATGTTGATTCTGAGATGAGTTTTACTAAGATGCATCAGCCCTATTGATCGTGAAATGGTTTTATGAAAGTCTATAAACTGGTGATCTTGAAATGATATTCTGAAGGTGTATCAACTCAGCTACATCTGGTGTGGAGACAGCAAGAGATCTCGAGATTCCACTGCCCAACACATTATGTGATGCTTAGCCCCATAACCTATCAAACGAAGCTTACAGATCATGCGTATAGTCACCTTGTGTATAGTCTGTTTAGTGCGGATTGAACATGCAAGGAAGTCATATCAAATTGTCAGTGGCGGTTATGCACTTATGAAGCTATGCCTCGTGGGCGTCACTGTCCACAGTATAACCAGAGCTATAGATATCATGTTGCTGTCGGTGGGCCAGGATTGGCCGTTGCCTGTCACTGGACAGCGACTTTAGCCAAAGCCAACGAACTGTAGATAGGCGAAGTCTGTGCCCACCCAGTGAGATCGTCACATGAATGTAGATAGAGTAATGAAATGTGTGTTGTGAGGTACCATAGAACAGTATGCATGTTGGATTTCAAGATTCCTGGTCATTCATTACATCAGTACGAGTTAGCATACTCTCACTATCCATATCCTTACGTTGTCATACACTCAACCCTCGTACACACATAGTTGAGACTCGCGGAGGAATACTATATCACATGCAGAAAGTCTGTCGTTTATTTATCAACATGGTTAATATTTGAGTTTTCGAAAAAAATATTTTTGTTGAGCCTGAGTATTCGCCAATGAAAACATCACGCTAGAGTTATTTCCTTAAACCGAGACCGGTCGCCTCAGTGGTAGAGGTTCCGGACAAATGGGTTTCCCGAGTTACGATGTGACACTCGCTACGTAGAATGTGTACTGAATGGGAGGGCGATCCCTGTCGTGTTTACGTATAGTATGTCCCGGCACCGTGATGTATACAGACCACACGTCACATTTATGTCTTTCTTAATTATGTTGATGAAGAATCGGAGACTCTAACCAATTATTGATCCAGATTTATAATGACATCAAAGTGGTTTGCGAATGGTGACTCGAACGCAAATTCTGTATTACAGACAGGTTGAAACCTGGCCATCGGAGACTGCGACCAGTTACCGATCAAGTTTTTAACTGACATCAGAGTAGTCTCAGTGGTGACCCAAAATCAAATTCTGTATAGCGTCAGGTGAAGACCAGGCCACTGGATATCCCAAACACATGAACTATTATGTTTCTGTAAATATTCGAATATTTTAAATTTTCGAGTCTTTAAAAGATTCTTTGTGTACCAACGTTATTTTGTGGTTCCTCCTTAAGGAGTTGCTTAAAAAAGAAATTACGCTGATTGAAAAGTATAAATAAATGGATGGAACCAAAAAGCGTACCAGGTTTTTCTGCAAGAAACTATTTAAAAAAAACCCCTCCCAACAGCCCCTCACCGCCCTTCCCTCCCATATCGCCAGTCTTCTTTGAGAGGTAGTTTTAAAGTTGTAAAGATGAAGGAAAACCATGTTCTATGGATAGTCAACTTTAAAGAAACTGACTATCCATAGAACTTGGGTTTCCGTAAATCGCCAGTCCCTGATCGTTGATCAGGAACCGCTATAGACCTAAACACAGTTAGTGTTCTGGGTTGCCCGTATTGGCTGCATGTAGATAGCGCTGTTGGCTTGTATGCATAAGTTCACGGCGATTCCTTTCACGAACGATGTGTATGATTATGTTTGTTTTTGTTAATGGCGACCCTACGTCGCATTCTGCAAAGACATTTTGTGATGCTGTGTGTCAGTGTCATTTTATATTTCCAATTTGTATAGTTCCAGTTTTGATAGTTGACATAAACGTCTCTCTTAGCAATATGCGCACATGATTGTGTGCCCCTCAGTGTACGTAGCAATAGAACCAGTACATGTAGTCAGTGTTTATGTACGTTCGTTTTATCGGCCGTCAGAAGGGGGAGTAACTCTAATCCAACTGTGTACGACGGTTGCCTTTGAGCTATGCCGCCACAACCAACAGCTCAGATACGTACGGGTGGTAGATCCTCTGTTAACCTTACCTTAAATACACCGCTCATTACACAACTATTTAAGAAAACCAACCTAAGCGTTTGTTTCACAACGTCTGAACAGTACGTGAGCGTATGAACAATAAATTTTGAATTAAAGCTTGTTGGAGATTGTGACTAACCGTTTTCAAATAAAGTGTTATAGGAGTCTCAATGTGGGTCAAACACCCCATGACGGAGTTTGTGACATATGATTCAGCTTAGATACTTTTAAAGAGTGCCAGTAGATGCATGTGTAGAGTGAATGTGTACCAGCTTCCTCTGTTCTGTTAATATCATTTTACAAACTAAAGGTAATGGTGCCCACAATTCTATGAGAAAGTTGCGTCTCTAAGGTGTCTCAGAATCATATCATCATATGTTCAGATCCAATAATCGTTTTGCATATTGTTCTTTGTTTGACAGCACTATTCCTGTATTCTTGGGTTCCACCGAAATGGTAGTAAACGTCATCATGTCCCTCCCTCAGATACGAAGCCATACAAATCTCGCCGTGTATGGCATTGTTTCGACAAGTTTACATAAGCTGAGCTTTAATTCATCAATATGCATTCCCATGAGTAATCAGCTAAACGTGTCAGCGATTTGATTGTCATCATCAGTATGATTTGCTGATGTATCAGTAAAAATATATAATTTAAAAAGTGTATTAAGAACACCCGAATCGTTCATATGACTAAAGTTGGATTGTCGTGGTATGTCAGATTATTGTCATATTAAAGAATCAGGTGTCCTTGAAATTCTTTTCAGAAGAATATTACATTCCGTTGAAGTTGTGATATCTGTGTAATACTGATGATGTGTCATACATATGTCATACGGCATACCTGTAATTGTGTAATATAGATGCTGTTGCAAAATAGGACACATACTATTCGCTGTTCGGCTCTCGAAGGAGAGATACGTTTTTTTCTCTCCTCTGTCATGTAGTGAGAAAGACTAACGGATGTATATCTGTTTTGTGATATGATTCTTATTGTGACGAGAGTGCTAGGACACTTGTTATGTTTTACCAGTTATCACCTAAGCGTGTTATCACTGTGCGATAAGATATGACGCATTGTGACGCATGATGTACGTCATATGTGACGTCGTACTATCGCTGTAATTTCACACGTACTCATGTGATATTATTGTTATCATTGTAGTTTAATGGTTCTGAAACTTGTTATATTTAGAGTTATCATGTATAGCCTGTCAAATCAAAATGAATTAAATGCGATTCAAACACGAACTGTAGTTTGTATTTTTAAGCAAGTCAACATTTTGGGCAAAGGATAATGTCTTCGTTGATTGGCATTTTGAAGTAATTAGTTTAATAAAAAAACCCAGTTTTTATGGATCTGCAACTTCCCTAATGACATTTCTCATGAATCAACAGCTCCCACAATTACAAGGGTCTGCAACTTCCCTTTTTCTCATGGATCTGAAACTCCCACAATTACAAGTTCTTAGAGATATGTTATACATCTTGCCTAATGATAGATTCTTATGGATATTCAGCTCCCACAATGACAAATACTTATGGATCTGCAGCTTCCACAATGACAGGTTCTTATCGTTGAACACCTCCCACAAGGACAGGTTCTTATGGTTGAACACCTCCCACAATGACAGGTTCTTATGGTTGAACATCTCCCACAATGACAGGTTCTTATGGTTGAACATCTCCCACAATGACAGGTTATTATGGTTGAACATCTCCCACAATGACAGGTTCTTATGTATCAGCAGCTTCCACAATCACAAGTTCTGATGCAGGAACTTCCAACAATGACAAGTTCTCATGAATCTGCAGCATCCACAATGAACATGTGGAACATCAGCATGAGGTAATTGGGAAGATGTTTCACTCGACATTCTCATACCTTTACCCTGCAAGTGATGAACAGCAAGTTGAAGTATGGGGTTTTATGGATGGGTGATGTTTATCAATGAAACTGGTTACTGTTGTGTTACCCAGGGAGATAAACACCATGCACTCATTGTATTTCAGCCTTATGTGATGCATTGACACTACTCATCCCTATGTGCATATACTCATATTTCACCTTTCTGTACAAAATTGGAATCTACATGGAACTTTCGATTTCAGTGATAGATAGACGTTGAGTATCAGTAGAAAAAGTGCCATTGTCCAACGGTCCAAGCGTACTCTGCAGGGTTGTGACCTCCTGTTTCCCAGGTAAAGGGTCCGTTTCGCTGGTGATAGTGTCACGGAGTTTCGTGACGGATATAAATTTGCACTGGTATATATAAAGAAAAATCTAGAAAACCGTTTTGGGAGTTAACGTGAAGAGAACCAGTGGGAAATAGCGAAGTCAGTTAAAGAACCATGAGTGATATATTTAGGATAGATCAGTTAAAGAACCATGAGTGATATATTTAGGATAGATCCGTTACCCAATTTATAAGGCTGATTGTGTTAATGTTTAATCAAATATCTTCGAAGTAATATAATACTGTAAGATGCTCCTCGCAATTTACATGGCATCAATCGCGGAAAGTGTTTGCTTATGTAGTTTTGCTTTATGTAGGGATCATTAGTGAAAACCAAATGATCCAAATGTAGGAAAGACGTTTGGAGTAATGTCATGAAGTGATGCAGTTTTCCATGTCATCTCCATAGCAATGTAATGACCGCACCTGGAGAACAAGATAATTCGTACTGATAACCATTGCCTTTTTTGATGGGCATTTTAGAAGTTGAGTTGATGAAGAATAATGGCAATTATTATGGATATACAACTTCTTGCTTGACAACGACATTAGAACCTTTGTCGAAACGTCGCCTCCTCAGAATAAAAGAAATTGTATATCCATAATAATTGTCATTATTCTTCTTGACAACCATTGCTTTGTTTGTTGTTTAACGCCATATTCAGCAATATTCCAGCTATATGGCGGCGGTCTGTAAATAATCGAGTCTGGACCAGACAATCCAATCAACAGCATGAACATCGATCTACGCATGGGATACGATGACATGTGTCAACCAAATCATGGAGCCTGACCACCCGATCCCGGTAGTCGCCTCTTACTACAAACATGGATTGCTGAAAACTAATTCTAATCCAGATCTTCACCGGTATATAAAAAGCTAAAACATATTACCGACCTTCGTAAACAAAGTGTAGGAATTATAATTTATAGCTCTCCTGGGATCTTTACTTGAAACCAAATATTTGACCAAATACTTTCTCTCATTGATTGACTTTTAAAAATTCATCTTCGGGTAAAATCTTCCCATTTTCTTAATGCAAAACAAGCTAGATATCGATACCATTTATTTAGTCAGCCGTCACGATTCTGTAATAAAACTGATTAAGATTAAATACGTCCTCGCATGTAACAAGCAGCGTGTCAAGATAGAATAATTACCCGAGTTAAAAATAGCAGATATATTCATCAAATATTGAAACACATGATTATTTAATTTTCAAAATGAAACCCTTTCAGGCATATTAAGGCAAATCACGAACACTTCCTAAGTGACATGCGCCGAGAGCCAGATGTAACCATTAATCAATTTGTTATGAATCAATCACCGCCTAATCGAACCTGATTATCAATCACCGCCGTGGCTTCCTGTTGCCTGAGCTACAGGGGACAGACTGCCGACCCGAAGGATATCACCGTCTTGTTTACATGCAGAAACTGACAAGATTTGGTCCTTATGTCAATCATCATATTTTGACATGCGCACTAGTCCATTGACCTCAACTCTCGGTAGTTGTTTATTTCTCACGTTGTTTAATTCAGTTAGGTTCATTTCTGAATATTGATACCTCATGGTCCCCCAAAATGCAAAATATAGTTAGCAACTTCGGTAATCCGCACGGTGCCGTTCCAAGTGAAATCGCTCGTATTTTTCTAAACTGACCGGCAAAAGAAAGTATACCAAAAGTTACCATTTATTTTAAAGAAATATTTGTGTAGGTACATTATACACTGAAACATGTCGTCCCAACGTAGCAATTTGATTCTTGCAGTGAAATGCATGTGCACGTCGTGAATAAAACGTCGAAGTGGTAAATTGTATAAACCATGATTTTGGGCCTCTGTCAGCGTTCCACATGCGCTAAGGGTATAAAAAGTTAGTGTGCGGACAGGTTACACATGCAGTTTGAAAAAGATCACCACAGATATGCCACGACTATCAGCAGTTGAACGTGAGAGGGCTATAGGTATGCTCCAGATGGTGTCCACACACGCCAACGTTGCAAGAACCTTCGGCTGCACCCGTGTAGCCGTCTCTAGACTGCTGCAACGTTACAGGCAGACAGGCCAGACACAGGACAGACCAAAAAGTGGGAGACACCAGCGAGTAACAACACCCGCTGAAGAGGACGTTACACCTGAGAAACCGTTTTCTGACGGTAACGTCTTCAGCGACGAATTCCCTTGATCACCATGTCAGTCGATACACGGTGGCTAGACGTCTTCGGGCAGCAGGTATCAAAGCCTACAAACCCTTCAA